GAAGTTGAAGGTGTTTTGGTAGGGGTGGTGCTGGTGGGATTTAGTAAGTGAGTAAATAGGGCTGTGCAAGGGTCTGACCATGGGCTGCGCAGGCGTCTCCGCGGTGACACTAGCCGCAACGTCTTTCTTTTTATAGGGGCCACGCTGCTTTGTGAGCAAGCATAGAGGGAAGGTAGAATGGGATGCTTACTTTCTTGCCCGATTGGCTTTGACCTTGACTAGATACCGCTATGCCCGGAGCTTCCACGGGCGTGGCCCGAGATGACAATGAGCTCGCGACCTCAGCCTCTAGAGGCGTGCTCCTGGAGGGAGAAGCAACCTCCGCCTCAGCCGCTGCAGCAGCAAGGACCTGAGTAGCAAAAACGGTGGGAGAACTTCCTATCAATGTATTCCTAGCGATTGTACTCGACCTGGGCGGGCCGCCATGGCGCCCATTTCGGCCCTCTGCTTGACGTTTAGCCCATGCTTTCCTCATAGCTGCGCTTCTTTTCTGGTGCGAGTCTAAGACTGGGTCTCCTTCATCCTTACTTTGGCTTGGTTCTGTCTTAGGAATAGAAGGGTAACGTTCTTCGGTGCTGGCGTATGGATTCTGTACAGCATGCGTAGGCGTCGTCGAAGTAGGCTTATCGTTTTCCTTAGTTAGATCAATTGAAGTGGGTAGTGGAGTAGTCGCGTCGTTAGTAGCCGGTGTTGTAAGCGACTTCGGATTGTATGGGAAGATATACGCAAGAGAGCTCGGTGACATCGCGGCGCTCGAAGCAGGATTGCTCACAATCATTGGAGCGCCAGTCGGTGTGTAGAGGATGCTTGGAAAGCCGGCTTGCTCAAGAGCCGCAGAAATCTCGTTCAAGGGCGCGTTGACGCCGCATTCTTGAGCTATGACGTCCCACGGCTTGTGTTTGTTTACTTCGTTCAATGTACGATGTCTGAGCATGTACTTCAACTGGCTCTTTGACACGGGTTTTCTCGACTTCGCTGCAGGTCGGCTTTGTTGAATCGTTGCTTCACTTGCAGAAGTTGGTGTACTTGGCTTGCGTTGAACTACTGTCACTGGGGCCAGGGACGGAGCTTGAGGTTGGGGAGACTCCTGCTCCTGACTTGGTTCACGAGAGGGTGTGTGGTATAGTAGCGACCTCTGGATAGATTGCTGCGAGGAGGGTGCTTGGACAGGAGACATCGTCGGGTGGGCCGGTACAGCGCCTGAAGATTTTTGTTGAGATGGACCGCCTGTCTGGGAAGTTACCTGCCATGAGAGGCGATTCTCCTGCTGCGCCATCTGCGAACGGACATTTGGTGGGATTTGCTGTGTATTATATTGGAGTGGCCCCTGATTGACCAACACGCCGAAGCCTAGATAATTCGGCGCAAGGGGCTTTGCTGAACCACTTGCATTGGCTTTGGTTGTACCATGAATCGTAGTCTCCGCATTGCCTGGTGCGGCCGGAGGGCTTTCTAAAGTCTCAGTGGGGAGGATCTGGAAATTCAGCCTTTCAAAAACGGCCTGACCTGATGCTTGACCGTTTAGAGTTGTAACCCTTTTTCTGAGCGAGCAAATCACTCCGTTGTCATAAGGACTTGGGCGAGTAGAGACAGACCCGGCTCCCGGAGCTTCCATCATCTTCCATAGGACATCCTTCCATGCTTGCCTATGGAGTTCATGCTCTGTAACATTAGGCGCAGAAGATTTTGCTGGTTTTGCGAATTCTTTCTCAAGCAGATCCTTGGAGTACTCGGCAGCCCCAGCACGCCTCATAGCTTTCGCCACCAATTCCCATTTCTCTCTTTGATATCTTGCTTCGACTTCAGCTACAGCGGCAAAAATTCTTTTCCTCTTCTTTCGTCAGACATGAACTCGCAATCTATGTGGGAGAACTTACATCAATTTCTGTGAGACTTTGCATGTTGGGCCTCGATTGAGCCTGAGGATCGCTCTTCTCTGCAGCAGTCTCCGCATGTATTTTCCCTTCCTCTCTTCCTCCGTCATCGAGCCTCCTTTGACCAACGGCAGCATCGCTCTGTTCTCTGCTCACGCCGCGGTTTATTGACGTGAAGCTTATTCCAGGTGTGTAGTTACGACCATTCTCCTCCTCAGTGCTGGTCGAACGAAATACTGAACTGCTGCTATTACTAGGTCCTCTAACGTTACTGGGAACAGATGGGCGAGTTGTAGCCCCTGCGCTCTCTTCCGTAGCTTCTCCATGGTTCGAATCTTCTCGACGTGCAGATGAAAGCTGGGAGCGTGACTGGCTAGGTGGGTTTTCCACTTCCTCTGTATCATGTACTTTTCTCTTCAGGCTCCGACTGAACGGTGTTGCCATCTGGTTATTCTCTGACATGGCTTCGGCTGTCCGGTAGGTGTGTTCTGATAGACCAAGGATTTACCAGAGTCGGTAGTAGCATTGTCCCAAAGACTAAGGAAGTGCTCAGCTCATGAATGTTTGCTGATCGGGGCCTAATTGGCTCTGTCTGGCATTCACACGGTATAACACATAGGACGGCGGTGAATTGAAAAAGCGATAGAAAGTTCGAAACCTCTTGAGATAACCTAAGATATAAGGTTTTGTCTAGGGGCGTTTTCCAGGAACCTCGTCATCCCGGCAGCGATCCGGTGATCTGCCATCCAAGGACCAGCGAGGCGGCACCAATGAAACTTGCACAAATGAATCACCTGCATAAACCCCTCTTGCGGTCAAGCGTGCCAGGTCCGGTTAGTCTGCGACTCGCTGCCCTCACTTTACGGCTGCCTCCCCTTTGAAATCGGCTGCTGTCAGTATGATTTAATCCTTCTCCATCATTTAGTGTGAATATACCTCCGTATCTTGCTTCGCCTGTAATGTTTCCATCTTTACTGGACCTCATTATGGCCCCCGGGGAACGAGGTAGTGCTCTCATTCACAGTGTTGCACCGATTCTCTTCGGAAGCTCTCTGGCCTCCTGGCCACGTTTTCTTCCTTTCCTCTCTACCTCTTCCTCTTCCTCTTCCTCCTCCTTTCTTCATCCTGTGGCTTTTCCCCGCCTCCAGGCCTCATCTTCCATCTTACGATCGCTCTTCCCTCACCTCAACTCCACTCAGAGTGTTGATTTTCCATCTCTACAATGGGGATATTTACAGCCTGTAAGATGGGTAAAGATATCGTCAACTTCCCTATTACTACTGTCTGCATCGGCGACCTGACAATCCGGGGAGCTATCAGATATACAGCTGGGTATCCGGCCGCGGTAGACCTCGTCGCCAGTGGAATGATCAATTCCAAAGTCATGGTCACCCATCGTTTTCCTTTTGAGAAAGCAGAAGAGGCATTTGAGACTGTTGAGAAAAGGTGGTAAGGGAGTTCTGACGGTCATGGTTGAGGGCGTGCAAAGAAAACGATTGGCCTGTAATACGTCATCGAGTCTGGAAAGAAGAGAGCATCCAGAACGGAACGGACAAACGTGTTGATTGAAAGTGAGAAATGTGTGCAGCTAAAGGTTTCGAGAGACTGGCTAATTCGACTCTTTCCTTTCATAAGTCGTAAAGCCCTTTTCGTCATCTTGTTTCTGAGGTCTGAGTCATGGAATTTGATTTGAGGAATCTGTGGAACTTTCAACTTTTTCAGACGACTTCCTGCTTCTTCTGGAGACAAGTGAGGCTATTGTGACCAGGAAGGCGGCACGTATGGCATTTGACTGACGCTGTTGGCTTATCTGCACGATCCTGTTTGCAAGTACGGGTGTTATGGCTCTTGCAATGACAATAAATACACTTTGAAGCTGATTTTGCGTTTGGATCTCTAGGCTGCGAGACGTAACGAGGCTCCAGGTATCTCCGTTGAAGCCGCCTGGTTTTCTCATCCGCTGTCTCCCCTTTGCGAATTTCTTTTCGTCTTTCATTTGCTGATGCTTTGTAGATCTTCTTTTTCTGAGGCTTCTGCGAATCGAGTTCTCTGGTAATCGTTCTTATCAAGCCGAGCACCATCTTTGCTTTTTGGGATCTTGTGTGGTAAAGAATGAAAAGATTGCTTCAAAGGGCTCTCTCTGCAAGCACCTAGATATTCAATTGTTTCAATTGACCAAGGACAAAAATGCAGATAATGTAGGTGCACAGGAAATGCCTCAGTTGATATGCATTGTAGCCAATGGGTATAAACAGCTTCACATAACAGACACAACACCCTGGTTGTCTTTATAGCCTCTTCCGAAAAGTCACCGAAGCTGCTTACGGCAATGACTGAAAATTTCTCAGCGCGTTCAACTCCTTTTCGATTGAGTAACCCATGATGAAAGGACCCACGTAGACTGTTTGCTTTGTCTTAGATTCATAATATTCAGACAATGTCGGGGTTTCAACGACTTACGCTGCCTTCGCACTGTACAGTAGGCTCTTGTGTTGGCTTACTCTGTGATGGAGTCCACCGTACGGACTGGTGGCGGAGCCAATATAAACGAAGGCATGACCTGTTCCATCTTTGCGCTCGATTACAGAAAGGTAGACTCCTGGCCTATCCCACTTGATGTACGATAAAGCTTTCAGCTGTTTGGCAGTTGGCGGATGTGGGGTGCTCAAAAGATTCTTGAAAGGATCTAGAGTGCATCGGTCAATTGTGGCAACCCAATGTGAAATTGGAGCCTGGCGTAAATGGTGCCTCCATTGCGATGTGGTTTCTATGGTCATTTGGAAATTTTTGACCACTGAAATTTCTTTCTTGAAGTAATAGAAATAATCTTCTAGGGGTTATCCGAAATCCTAGTAATGTAGTGAATAAATGCCGGTGTTGATGCTGAACCTTTGACCCTGCTTGATGAAACAGCACTCCGAAGGTTTTGTAAGGGAATTGTGTTCTTGATTTGAGTGCATCTTTTTCATGGGCTAAGTGGCGTGTCTTTCCTGGGAAATCCACGTTGCGCCTCCGCCAACAACTTGTTTGTGAAATCATTGGCACTTCTGTATGATCTATTTGGCTATGGTTGTCTTTGAATAGATTATATATAATTATATTTGTATTCATGAGTATATGGCAGTCGGCTGGATAGTTCAGTGGCAGAAGTCAGTTACATCCAAAACCCTCGGAAGACTGTCCATTGAATAATGTCTAATAATAACATTTAGTTCTTGCTTTGGGTACTTTACTTGTGTGTAAGAGGTCCTGGGTTCAAATCCCAGTTCAGCCCAGTTTTTTTGCAACATTTTTCATTTCCGGACTGCAGGATTCCGAGCGCATATTCCTCAGGTAGCTTTGCTTAAATAAGAATTGGCTAACTATGGTAAAGGTAGCTCAGTCATGTTTGAATTTTGGCCCAAAACGTTCAGGCAGCGGTCCCTGCAATCTTAAACTCGTATTGAAAGTCACCTTACTAATTAAAATACTATTGTTAGCTTGGTATCGTAATCTAAACGCCGGACAACAGAAGTGGAAAAGGCCTCTTAAAACAGCGTCGAAGCCATCGCGAAGTGGGCGCGTTCTCACCTGCACACAGAATATCCGCGTCCATTGGGTAAGGGCCATCCGAGCCATATTTCACAACGTCTTCGTCAATAGAGCTTCAACGGCTTCTTCAAAAGCGTGAGGACACCGAAGTTGCCCGAAGTCGTCATCGACATAAAAGCGAGGAGAAGCCTGGGCGAAAGCTCCAGGCTCCCTTTCCCGACGAGAACATGAAGTTTTCTCACAGCATACAGTTCAACGCGGTGCCAGACTGGAGCAGTCATTACATTGCCTATAGTAACCTCAAAAAGCTGTGAGCCTCTCTCACTCTATTCATCCCCGGCCCCAGAGCGACGAGATCTCGAGGAGTCTAGCGGCAAAGCTGACCACGTTGCAATACTTCAGGATATACCAGCTAGAGAAATCCATCCACCAGTCTCCTATTTTAGCCCAGAATGATGCAGAGGCCTCTCCGCTCATCAATACCGATGACCCTGATGCAGTATTTCGACGGGCGCTGGATCAGGAACTCGAGAAGATATGTTCCTTCTATCAGCTGAAGGAGCTGGAGATCTACGGAGAGGTTGGGGACCTGATGAAAGAAGAGGAGGAATTTGGAGCTGAGGCCGATGGTGTGGATATGGACCAACTGGATGGCCCTGGAGACAAGAAAGGGAGACCACGACGTGGAAGCATATTCGGGAAATTCGGCTTTGGCGGTAGGCAACGGCGGACGAGTACCATGAGCGCCTCGACAATAGAGGAGGAAGAAGGCGATAGCGATGACGACGCAGACGAAAGAACTGGCTTGAATATGAGTGGCATGTCTAGGGACCGAAGGAAAACGTACGATGCCAACGCGCCACAGGCTGAGGGTGACCTACGAAGTTCCAGAGAGTTGCCACCCTCGAGACGGAGAGCGAGCCAGGCATACGATGACTACAGTGACCAGGCTTTCTCGACCCTTGTGGCCTCCGGCATGACATTGAAGAAGCGAACCATAAGCCTATACGTCTCGCTATGCGAATTGAAGTCGTTCATTCAGCTGAACAAAACCGGTTTCTCGAAAGTGTGCAAGAAGTATGACAAGACGTTGAATCGCAACCTCAAGAGTGTGTATATCAAAGAAAAGGTCGCACCGGCATATCCTTTCCAACCGGTGACGATGCAACACATCGATGAGAATATCCAGAACGTGGAAAAGGCATACGCAGACGTTATAACGAAGGGTGACGTACCCACAGCCAGGCGAGAGCTACGGTTGCATCTTCGGGAGCACGTCGTATGGGAACGCAATACTGTTTGGCGAGAGATGATCGGAATAGAAAGGAAAGCCCAAGCTGCAAATATGGGCTTGAGGAGGACATTGCTCGGCGGAGACCAGGACCCAAAGTTACAAGGTGACGAGACCGGCGAGGTAGCCACCAAAGAACTCGACACGCCTATTGGAAAGTATAGATGCCCACAATGGTTGTTTAGCTCGACATTTTTTACACTGATGGGCATCATCGTTCTATTCGTGATATTACTAGTTGTGCCCATTATGAAGAAGCCAGAGCAGCAGAATTGTCTGGCGTTACTGGTATTCGTCAGCTTGTTATGGGCGACAGAGGCATGTCCCCGGGCAATGTCAAACCGTGACCTACACTCACGTTGGAATAGGTCATACCTCTATTCGTGACAGCTTTGCTAGTACCATTCTTGGCTGTTATCTTGCGAGTGGCCCGTGAGGATCAAAAACCACATCACCGACTGGATCCCAAAGATGCAACGAAGTACATCTTCGCAGCCATGTGGACTCCAGTCATCATGTTACTGCTCGGAGGTTTCACAATTGCTGCAGCACTTTCAAAATTTCACATTGCGAAGATGATGGCCACGTTCGTCCTCAGCAAAGCAGGCACTCGGCCAAGAACTGTCCTAATCACTAACATGTTTGTTGCCATGATATTGAGCATGTGGATAAGTAACGTTGCTTCACCAGTGCTCTGCTTCTCTATAATCCAAGTAGGTTCTCTGCTATACTTGAACTGGACAAGTCTAACGATTTCTCAAGCCACTCCTCCGCAACCTTCCGTCCGACTCCAATTTCTCCAAGGCTCTAATCCTCGGCATTGCCCTTGCTGCAAACATCGGCGGTGCTGCGTCTCCCATCGCTTCTCCGCAGAACATCATCGCCCTCCAAAACATGCGGCCGCAACCCAGCTGGGGTAAATGGTTCTTCGTCGCTCTTCCTGTCTGCATAATTTCCATCCTTTTAATCTGGATTCTTCTCCTCATTACCTTCCAACCCGGAAAAGGCACTACGATCGTGCCCATACGGCCCATGAAGGACAAATTCACAGGTGTGCAGTATTTCATCAGCATAGTGACTGTCGTGACTATTGTCCTGTGGTGCGTAACTCATCAACTGGAGCATTTCTTCGGCGATATGGGCGTTGTGGCTATCATACCAATGGTCGCCTTCTTCGGTACAGGTATTCTCACCAAAGAAGACTTCAACAACTTCCTCTGGACCATCATCATCCTAGCCGCTGGCGGGCTTTCTCTTGGCAAAGCAGTCTCTTCGTCAGGCTTACTACATACGATCGCGGCCACCGTCACAGAGAAAGTCGAAGGCATGAGCCTATACGGTGTCCTAGTGGTCTTTGCAGCACTGATACTCGTCATCGCAACATTCATCAGCCACACAGTCGCTGCCTTAATCTTCCTACCTCTGGTCCACCAAGTCGGCGCTGCCTTGAAAGAGCCTCATCCGAATTTGCTCGTCATGAGCTCCGCGTTGATGTGCTCTGCGGCCATGGGTTTGCCTACTAGCGGCTTTCCAAACATGAGTAAATATTCTTCCACTCTACAAGGTGAAGTGACTGAAGTGCTGACTCGTTGGTAGCTGCTATCATGATGGAAGATTCGCAGACAGGGCAGCGGTATCTGCAAGTGAAGCATTTTATTTCCAGGGGTATACCGGCCAGTATCTTCACATTCCTAGTTGTCATATCATTGGGCTACGGCCTGTTGCTTGTTGCGGGACTTTAGCGGGGTTTCAGATTTAGAATGTACATGATACCATTTATGCGAGCGTATATAGGGGACAGCGGCACGGAATTATCATCTATAGCATAGGCATTATATAGGCGTCAATCTAGGAAATCATGGGCATTGTGATTGAGATTTAATTCCACTATTTCAGGCTACCTATGGCAACCACCCAAATGACAGCATGCATACAGCTAATGTAAAGCCTCCTTCATGGCGATTAGCCAGAAGATGTCTAACCTGCTCGATCGTGGAAATATCCAGTCGCATGTCAGCACCAATAAATGCAATATCTTTCTATCTCGAGTTAGCATACCGATTCATCAATCAAGACCGACAAAACTCACAATAGCGCACGCTTCAGCCAAACCACAGCTCACGTCCTAGTTCAACAAGCCAATCGTCAAATCCCCCCGCAATTTCGCCTTCAACTGAATCTCAACGTCCAAATTAAGTTCCAGCCTTAGTCTCAGCTGCTCTCCTTTGCCCTCATCCTCCTCCCCTTCTCCCTCTCCACCATTCTTCTTTCCACCCGTCAATCCTCCGACTGTCTTGCCCACTGAATCAGTCGCGCCTCCAACGGTATTTTGCACTTTATCGACTGCCTCCGTCGCGGTTTCACCGACTTCGTCGAGACTGTCTAAAGGCCCACCGCCCTGTTTCTCCGCCTGCTGCGTCTGTGGAGGACCTTGCTGCTTCTTCTTCCTATTCCTCTGCCTTCTCCCTCCTCTTCCCTGTGCATCACTCACATCGCTCCTAGCCACACTCTCCGCATCGCTATCAGGCGCCTGGCTCCTTCCCCTGCCCCTAGATTGCCTCCTTGGCTTGGATTTACTCGCGGTCCGCGATTGTGGTTGTGAGGAGGGCGGCGCATTAGCGTCACCTTCGGTTTCTGCTTGCGATTCGCCTCCTTTTTGGGTTTCTTTTTGGGGGGTGTTCTGCTGGGAGTTCTTTTTACTTCCTAGCTCTGGGGGAGTGCTTTTTGTGGATTGGGATTGGGCTGGGGAGCCTGGAGCGTTGGCGCCGGCGGTAGCTTGGGCTTCGTCTGTTTTCGTTTGTTCTTCTACCATGTTGCTGCCCTTCTGAGGTGTATCGGGTGGAGTGTTCATCCAAGGATTTAGTAGAGGGGATAGTGAGCTGCTTGCTATGAAGGGTCAAGCGATTGTGGTCTGAGAGTTGTGGGATGAGTGAATGAATCGAGCGGTCATGGAAAGGAAAGTGAATGGCTGGGAATGATTAGGTGTATGACGCAGCAGACCTGGAAGTCGAAGCTTCCAACGGGCAGGTCGCGATAGCAAGTTACCAGCCTTTTCACTTCATTCCTTGATTGGCGAGTGCTGACAGGCGCAATCCGCCGGCGGGTGATCATCATGCACGATGACGGAGGGTTCGCTCCGTTGTGAAGGTGGTTTCGATCTGCAATTCTGAAGCATAAGGTTGGAATTTGATATGGAGAACTACATAGGATAAACGTTCGAATCTTCTAGCTATCATGGCACCAAGAACCACACAATTACGCTTTTCCATCGTTCAAAAACGTGGGAAAATGCGATTGCCACGTGTCAGAACTTGGCAGTTCGACGAGCCAGATTAAATCCCGGTCGATCATGATCAGGGGTGTCGGAGTATCAAATATCAAACAAGATGGCTGCGAAGCTTCACTCCTTCAATTTGATGATACTTGCATCATTAGCAGGCTCTTCACTCTCT